TCTGCTTGCGCCTCACTGGACGCAAAAAAGCCACAGTAAAAAGACCCATTAGAACTGAATTGAGTAGCGAGAAAACCAAAAGTAAGTTCCAGGAACAACTGAGGTCACAATTAGGTAGTTCTGAAAACGAGGCTGACCCAGATGTTGCTTGGAAAGGCATACAATCAGCTGTGGAAACAGCAGTGATGTTTATTAGTGATTTAAACCAAAGGGTTACAAAGAACCAATAAATTTCCTCAAGGTCTATTGCACTGATGGATTCTCGTAAACTCATCCCATCAGGCTCTGAACACGATGAAGAGCGTAAACAAATCAGATCTAAGTTAAACAAAAGTCTAAGGAACGACCGTGAGCAGTGGTGGGTAACGAAGGCAAAAGAGATGGAAAAGGCGGCGACTATAGGGAACACAAGACAGCTTTACAGACTTATAAAAGAAACTGGAATTAATAAGTCAAGTGTAAGTGAGATTATTTCGGAAAAAGACGATACTCTCATCTGCTCCCAGTCCAGACGTTTAGAACGATGGGTGGAACATTTCAGAGAACAGTTCAACTGGCCTTTAGCTACCCTACAACTACCCTCCATTCCCAGACAGTGTGAATGGAACATTGAAGTAGGCCACGCAACTCTTGCTGAAGTTCAGAAAGCTATAGTTAATCTGAAACGAGGAAAGGCAGCTGGTTCAGATGGATTGGCTCCAGAGGTCTTTAAGGATGGTGGTCCAATTTTAGCGATTAGGTTGACTAATATTTTAGCTAAGATCTGGGAGTTAAACGTTATCCCATCTGACTGGTTGCAATCACTTATCGTCCCAATATATAAGAAAGGGTCAAAATCATCCTGTGACAACCACAGAGGGATTAGTTTAACAAATATAGTATCTAAAATACTAACCTCGATAATTATCAGACGCCTAACTAAGACTCGTGAACTACAAACGCGAGAGAACCAAGCTGGCTTCAGACCTGGTCGTGGCTGCATCGACCACATATTCACCATTCGTCAGGTTCTAGAACACAGGCATACTTATCGACGTCCGACAATGGTGGCCTTTCTTGACTTGAAAGCAGCATTTGACTCTGTAGACCGCGAGATACTGTGGCAGTGTCTGTCATTGAAAGGTGTACCCCAGAAGTACATAAACCTTGTAAAGGCTCTTTACTCGAACACTACTAGTCGAGTCAGGGCTTATGGCGAACTGTCATCTACTTTTGCAACCTCAAGTGGTGTCCGTCAAGGCTGTCCACTTTCTCCATTTTTGTTTAACTTCATCATAGACCTATTGATGGAAATAGCCTTCTCGTCGACTGAATTCTCGGGTAATGATCTCCTACCAGGAGGTCCACTTATCGACTTAGAATACGCAGATGACATAGTCCTGTTTGGTGATGACGCTGATAAAATGCAGAGTCTTCTGGTAGCACTAAGCAACAATGACAGAATGTTCGGGATGCGTTTCTCCCCCTCTAAATGCAAGTTGTTGCTCCAGGACTGACCTGCGTCAACACCTGGACTACTGATTGGGAGTGAAGTAGTTGAACGCGTCGACAACTTCACTTATCTTGGAAGTCTCGTCACCTTGATGGGTTGGTGTCTGACGAAATCTCAGCACGGATTCAGAAAGCTCGTTTGAATTTTGCCAACCTACTTGACCTATGGCGATGGTGAGATATTTGTCTATCAATAAAAGGACGAGTATACTGTATGGAAGTTTGTTCTGTTCTACTTTACGACTGCGAAACGTGGCTATTAAGAGTAGAAGATACTCTTAAGCTATTAGTATTTGACCGCAGATGCCTCAGAAATATTGCTGGCGTCTGCTGGGATCACCTGGTAAGTAATAGTGAGGTTAAACATAGGGTATTAGGGAATGATGGTAAATCAGTCGATGAGGTTGTGAATATTCATCAACTGAGATGGTTGGGTCACGTGTTACGTATGACTGAACACCGATTACCACGGCGCGTAATGCTAACTAGTGTTGGGGATGGTTGGAAAAAAGTTAGGGGTGGCCAAACCAAAACGTGACATCAGTACTTGAAGTCACTAACTTCTAGTCTTAGCCATATTGGTAGATGCAGACTACTTGGTTGGGGTCCGCGTGACTTCCGTAACCAATGGCTGGAGACTCTTGGTGACATGGCTCAGAATCGATCACAATGGCGTAGGTGTATACACTCCCTGTCTTCCCTTAAACTAAGAGATTAAAATCACTTCACATCTTTCCTTCTACTAACTAATTCTTTCTTCCTATACTATATCCTTACATGCAATCTTTCTCCTATATATTACCACCTTTGACCTAACCACTCCTATGAATCCGGTGTTCATCTTGCTGTGTTAATGAGGTATGGCAACTTGGACCGATGCACATATGTGCCTGGTCCTACGTTGTATCTGACTGACTGAATGAATGCAGAGGTTCGGTATCGTGTTTTCGGGCACAGAGACGATAATGCAATCGGTGTCACCATCTTGAAACATCGACTTCGGTGGCTTGGACATGTTCTACGAATGTCGTCCCTGGGAATTCCACGTCGTGCATTATTTGCCGACTCTGGGACTGGCTGGAAAAAGCGGAGAGGTGGTCAGTGCATGACATGGTGTCGTGGTATGAAAGAAAGCTGCAAAGGGCTGGCTTGTGTTGGTCCTTCACGACTCCCTAGCTGGAGTCCGAGAAATGGTGCTACACAGTGACTAGAGACGTTATCAGATATGGCTCAGAATAGAAGCCAGTGGCGATCCTGCTGTAACCTTCTTTTACTTTTTTCATAAAACGTGACCGTAACTTCTTTAACTGAAAGAATTCTTTCTGGTTGTACCTTTCTGTTTCCCCCATTATTATTTCACTACCATACAGTAATTGGTGGTCGTTATTGTCCTTTTTTTACACGCACATTACATTCTTTATCTCTTCCCATTCTCATTATTATTGTGTGGCGCATATGTGTCTGGTGCCCACTTGTAACAATATTTGTGTTGAAATAAAATGTGGTTCCCCCCGTAAAGAATTTCCAAAAATGATATTCGGATACCAGTTTACGCTATTAACTGACCATAAACCATTGCTGACCGTATTTGAGTAAGAGAAGTGGACTCCTGTCTACATAGTTACAGACTGCAACGGTGAAAACCACGCTCTCGGGTTACAATTTCAAGATTAAGTACCAACCTTCTATTCATTTTCGACAACGGATACTACTCTGTCAAGACTGACTGGTTCACAAACGAAACATGAAGATGCTCTCGTAGCAGCAATTGAACCTGAAACAGCTCGTCTAGAGTTGAATGACGCAGTTGATGGACAATGAGTTATTTTCGAAATTATAAGAGAAACCACGGAAGATGACAAGATGTTGATAGAAGTTAGGAATCATCTCACCAAACGGCCTAACCATTGTTCTTAAGGAGAACTGCTACAGTACTTGCGTCGGTGTGAATCGTTTATGATCGTCTATTCCTGTATTATGTTTCGTGTAGCAGAATCGTTGTTCAAAAAAACATTACACCAGAATGTTCTGAAATTATTCCACAGCGGTCATGCCAGCATCTACGACGTGAAACCTTTGGTATAGAGCTATGTTTACTGGGCTTCAATAAACCAGAATATCAAAAATGCATGCCGAAATTGTCCATCGTGCCTCCAAGCACCAAGAAATCGAAAGAAAAATGAACCACAACAACGACCAAAGCCGAAAAGACCCTGGGAGAGGCTGCACACAGATTTTGCTGGCCCAGTACAAAGGAAAATGTTTTAAATCATTGTCGATCTATTCATAACACGGCCGGAAATATATATTATGTCAAATTGTATAACCAATGAAAAGGCCGGCTAGTTATCGGATTTGTTTCGCTGTTTCGGAGTAGCAGAGATCTTAGCGGCCGATAATGGTTAACAATTCATTTCAGAGTCATTCAAGCATTTCTATGGCATGAACGGAATAACGCGCCTACGTTCACCACCTTTCACCTTCACTAGAACGGACAAATAGAAAATTTTGACGACACATTTAACCGACCATTACTAAAAAAGAGACGAAGGGACACGTCAGGTAATCACAAAGTTCTTAACAAATTATAGAACTAGTCCAAACCACACTGTCCCAGATGGAAAGTGCACTGTCAAAGTCATGTTTGGAAGAAGTGTTTCGACTATTTTCAACGCCACGTTGCTACCTAAAATAATAGATGGCCACAAAATTAGAATATCTTAAGTTTCAATGTGGGGGAATAAAGTGGTTGTCAAATCATACCTTGGAAAAATTCAATTGGAACCTGAAATTATTAAAAAAATACCTGGAAAAGTTATGTCCAAAGTGCGTGGGGGCGTTTAGAATGTGGACCGGATATGTAAACCAAATCCGTGAAGATAAAGGGACAATAAACACGGAAGGTGAACCTACCACTGGAGATAATTACAGATATTCCAATGACGGAAACCCTCAACAACGCCATAAAGAACAAAAGGAGGAAAGGTTGGATAAGAAAGACATCCTTGTTGTTCTGTGTATAAACTAATCTTGTAGTAAAGTGTTCTTTCCGCAGTTCATGTTTTTTCTCTTATGTTTAAGTTACCGTGTAGATTTAGGGTTATTAGAAGAGGCTAAGAAATTGGATTAGGCGTTCGTTTAGCAGACTTAACATCTATTACCCTAGTACCATTGATGATAATTATCATATTTACAGCATAATCGACCTCCGCAGGTCACGGTTATATTTATACATATCCCTGCAAGCTTCAGTTACAATTCCTATTGTGACTATGTATACTAATCAGTGTAATTACAAAGAAATTTATGATGTAACTGTAACTCACTAGTCACTAACACAGTCCATATACTCGATCATAAGCTACACTTTTTGAGCTAAGAAAAATTCTACTAATTGGACATTCCAGTCAAAGAATATAAGGCAGTACAATTATATATATATATATATATATATATATATATATATATATATATATATATATATATAGAGAGAGAGAGAGAGAGATTACCTCTTTATTTGTGTTTAACTCATTTAATTTATCTCGTAATTCCAAGTTTAATAGTAATTCCCTACATTCTGCACGAGCTGTTTTCGCTTCCGATTCCGCTTGTTCTGTTCTTTCACGCCAGGTTTTCTCATTTATAAGTAAACTTTGATTTAAAGCACGTTCTTCTTCCAAATCCTTTTGTAAACGTTGAGCTAGTGATGTTGCCTTAAAATAGATTATTTTAGAGATATCAAATGTTTCGGGAACAATAGGTAAGTTTGTGCAATATATTTATATTTAAAAAAATTGATTGAATATCGCATGGATTGTTGGTTGCATTTTCGTGATATCTCAAAATAAGTTTATCTTTCATATCAAAATAAAAGATTTTTATTTATTTGAACACATAAATATTGGTACAAGAGAGCGCCAATATATATGCGCCACACAAAGCAATGGGAATTCGAAGAGAAGTAGAAAGAAAAAAAAACTAAGGAACGCAAAAGAAAAAGAGAACAATGACGAAGAGATTGGAGTAAGGTAGTGTGGTAATAACGACGGAACGAAAAGGTACAATCAGAAGAAATCTTTCAGGTAAAGGAGACACAACCACTTTTTATGAAGAAAGTAAAAGAAGGTTACAGCAGGATCGCCACTGGCTTCTATTCTGAGCCATATCTGATAACGTCTCTAGTCACTGTGTAGCACCATTTCTCGGACTCCAGCTAGGGAGTCGTGAAGGACCAACACAAGCCAGCCCTTTGCAGCTTTCTTTCATGCCACGACACCATGTCATGCACTGACCACCTCTCCGCTTCTTCCAACCAGTTCCAGAGTCGGCAAATAATGCACGACGTGGAATTCCCAGGGACGACATTCGTAGAACATGTCCAAGCCACCGAAGTCGGTGTTTCAAGATGGTGACACCAATTGAGTTATCATCTCTGTGCCCGAACTCATGATGCCGAACCTCTGCATTACTGACATGGTGTTGCCACTGAATGTCAGCAATCCTTCGGAGAGAGCAATGATCGAACACAGAGAGGCGTCTAACGTCCTCAACTCGGAGAGGCCAGGTTTCACAAGCATAGAGCAAAACTGCTCTCACCGACGCGTTGTAGATCCGGCCTTTTACAGCCAGACTAACATCACGAAGGCGCCAAAGGTGGCCCAGATTGGCATAAGCCGCTCTGGCTTTCACTATTCGTGCATTGATCTCATCGCTCACACACCCACCAGCACTTATGCAGCTACCCAGATACACGAACTTCTCGACTACTTCTATCTGCTCACCATCCAGAGTGAGTACAGGATTAGAATCCTGCCAGTCTTGTAGAAGTACTTTGCACTTCGAAGGTGCAAAGTACATACCATACCTACGAACAAAGATTGCCAAATGATTAAGTGCGGATTTCATGGCTTGGGCATTATCGCACAGTAAGACAATATCGTCCGCATACTCAAGGTCGAGAAGTCTTTCTCCAGGCATAAGATCCACACCACCATTACTTACATCCATCAGAGCTGTTTCCAGAATGTCGTCGATGGCAAAGTTGAAGAGGAATGGTGAGATTGGGCAACCCTGCCTAACCCAACTGCTCGAATGGAACAATGGAGAGAGGTGGTTGTATGCCCTCACTCTACCTGAGGTGTTTGTATATAGGGCTTTTAGGATGTTAATAAACTTCTCAGGCACACCCTTCTTCAATAGACAATCGCAGAGAACAGTCCCGTCCAACGAATCGAAGGCAGCCCTGATGTCAAGAAACACTACGATTGTTGGCCTTTGATAAGTTTGACGGTGTTCTAACATTTGGCGGAGGGTGAAGATATGATCAATACATCCTCGACCAGAACGAAACCCAGCCTGCTTCTCGCGAGTCAATCTTTCTCGGGTTTTGAACAACCTACGAAGAATGACGGAAGCCAATAGCTTGGACGCAATCGGAAGTAGACTTATCCCTCGATAGTTGTTACAGGAACGACGTGAACCCTTTTTAAAGATAGGGACAACTATCGACTCATTCCATGACGTTGGTACACTCTAGTTCCCAGACTTTTGTAAACAACGTCGTCAATTCCTTAGTCAAAAAGTCACCACCATCTTTAAAAAGAGCCGGAGGTAAGTCATCTGGGCCAGGTGATTTGTAGCGCATCAAGGGTTGGAGTTCCTTGCGGACTTCCTCCTCATTTGGTGGATCAGTCGTCACCGGCCATGGAGGGCAGGACAGTCTGACCGATGTTGCCGGAGCAGCAGGCCAGTTGAACTGCCCTTCGAAAAATTCTGCCCATCGTCCAAGACGTCGATGGATGTTAGTGATTGGCATCCCATCATCCTCGCAGATTGTTTCACTCACACCAGACTTCTTGCTGCCAGTGGCTCGGATGAGCTGGAAGAGCTTCCGGTAGTTACCAGATGCAGCTGCTGCTTCCAGCTCATTAGCACGCATCGACCACCAGGCTTCTCGGTCCTTACGCAAGCTTTGCCCAATTTACTTACGTAACATCCTTCGTTTATGGTCAAACTCACGGTCACCCGGAGTAGACCGACGGGCTTCAATGAGTTGTAAGGAACCAGAAGAAACCCAGTGCTTGAAAGCGGGACGTTTCGCAAACCCACAACTGATTGTTCCCGCCATTTTCATGGCGTCATGCAATTGCAACCAACGCTCATCTATACTTTTCGGTGGAGTGGTAGCTAGCCTAGAGGCTAGCTCGGTTCGATACTTACTTGCACCAGAAGTTGCAACCAGCTTGCTAACATCAATCCGTTGATGGCGTTCACTTCGTTGTCCACTGAAAAGTAAGGCAAGATTGGCGCAGACCAAGGCATGGTCAGAGTCCAGATAGGTACTCCAAAAGGAGCGGCAGTCTTGTACACAACCACGCCAGCGGTAGCTGATCGCGATGTGATCAATCTGAGTCCAGGCTTGAGATGCAGAGGGAGGACGCCAGGTGGCACATCGGCGATGACTGTGCCGAAAGTTAGTGCTAGCCAGAAACAGGTTGTGGTCTGTGCAAAGTTGCAGTAGACGGTCCCCGTTATCTGACCTGCGACCAACGAGTCCCCATCGGCCACCTAAACGACTCTCTTCTGTGCCTAGCAACTGAGCTGCAGGACTGAGATAACCACTTTGACCGACCACAGATTAGCGTAAACAAAGTGCACTTGTTGTTGAGTCAATTAGAATGCTGGCCATATTGACACATGATTGATATAATTGAATCAGCACCAAAGATTGGATAAAAGTGACACCAGTTACCACTTAGTAATCAATCAGAACAAGGCCTAGACACAAACATGCCATGTGTGAAAAATCAATTTTATTGGAAAGACTATAAGTCACTACTCATAGTTAGCATCCGGAATTCATAGGACGGAGTACACTGCAAAGTCGTGCATAGAGGACAGCTGACAGATGCATTCCAAGTGAGGATTGGAGTAATATAAAGATGTTTACACTCTCCCTCTATTTTCTAGTGTTTCAACTGGACATGTAAGAGGAAAATGGGATACAATGGACAGTTCAGAATCAGTTAGAAGATTCGGACTTCGCAGATGACCTTGCCCTCCTATACCATACACACGAACAAATGTAGATGAAGAAAACTAGTGAGCAGAAGTCTCTGAATCAGTAGGCCATGACATACACTAAGGAAAAAGCAAGATCCTCAAATACAACACGAGAATACCAACACAATTACACGATGGCGAAACTCTGGAAGATAAGGAATCCTTCACGTAGCTGCGAAGCATCATCGATGAACAAGGAGGATCCAATGTAGATGTGAAGGTACGGATTGGAAGAGCAAGGGTAGCATTCATACAGTTGAAGAACATATGGAACTCAAAACAACTGTCAACCAATATCAAAGTCACAATCATCAATACGAACATCAGGACAGATCTACTGTACGAAGCTGAAACTTCGAGAACTACCACAACAATCATCGAAAAGGTACAAATATTTATAAACAGTTGTCTACGCAAGATACTCAATGTCCGTTGGTCGGATACCATAAGCAACAGCCTACTGTGGGAGGGAACAAACCGGTTTCCATCTGGACTTGGGAAAAGACGATGGAAGTGGTTAAAACATACGGACAGCAACCAGAAATCTTTCTCGTGGAACATCCGAATTCAAGCTTCTCAGTCAGAAAAATACGTCAACCATTTAGTCGTTTCGGGCTTCCAGAATTAAGAGTTAGCGACAATGAAATACAGTTTACGTTCTCTATCTTCTCCGGATTTTGTCAGCAGAATGAAATCAATCGTGTCCGAACACCTCAGATAATTAATGGGGTCTCTCCAGCAGAAGCATTACTTGTCAGAAAAATACAGACACATTTCGACTTTATTCGTCCAACGCCAGCTCTTGAGCCTCAACGAAACATATGGATGGAAAAACAGTTCAATCGACATCATGGGGCACAAAGACAATTGTTCACTATGAGTCAAAAAGCACTTGCTATGAACTGTCGTGGCAAACATCCTACATGGATGGTTGACCGAATAGTACAAAAGAGAGAAAGTGTGGTTTACGAGGTGTCAGTTGGTTCAGAGGTTTGGATGCGTCATGCTAACCAACTGAAAGAAACTTTGATCCCCAGAAATGAGACCTGACACAGAACGCCTCTTGATGTTTGCTGGACACCTTTGAAACCAAAACCCCTGGGACAGACTGACCAGTCTTTGAGCAAGCAGAGTGATACCACCTCTTTATTGCCTAGAAGGTGGACAAATCGAAAGCACACACCAGCCACGTGGTTGCAGGGCGACCCTATCCTACGAATCTGTCCACACGAGAGGTGTTGACGAGATATAGATAGGATTAAAATGTTTCGTGTATAATTGTGTCGAGGCACTCTGATTGGCCATTTCTTAACCAATCGGCGCTAGCGGATACGTGGAGAGGAATAGAGAATCTTCTTATGCGAAAATTCTAAGTATACTGACTTTTTTTATTGCGATTCCTACTTCCATCGACCATTTTTATTTGGAATGTGACTACGTTTCTGTTCAACCGTGTTCTAATTTGGGGGACTTGTCGAGTAAGGTAGTGTCCAAGAATACTAAACGACCAGAGTAGCTGGGCTGTAATAAGAGACAACATAACACCACTACTAGTATTCGATCATAGATATTTTCGAAGCATTGCTCGCATATCCTGGGACCACCGAGTAAGTAACGCGGTGGTTAGGAAACGGGTACCAGGTAAGGATGT